TCAAGCAGAAGTTTAAAAGATTACAAACCTCAGGCTGCTCTGTTTTCTTTTGAGTACATCGGATGCATGGTTTCTCTAGATTTACACACAGAAAATGGAGATGAGTTGGGTATTAGACTAACACTCCAGCAATACGAAGGAGCTGATTTCTCACATTTGTGTAGAACATTTTCCTACCTAACTACCATCTGGTCCCCATTAATTCCCTCTCATAGCCATAGCTTTCCATTACCAATGAGTTTTCCATGTATTTGCAGCATATGGTCCAGGAAATCTTTCTACAGAGAATGTGTCCCTTAGGCATATATTTCCCCTAGATTACCGTATTAAAAAATGTTCTCCCTAAACCATACTTATGGCATTACCATAAAATTGCCCTTTGAACACAGTTAAATTGAAAGTGCTCCAAATGCATATCAATTCAGGTAAAAGAAATTCTTGCTACTTGGAAGAGAGGTTTTTTCCCCCCCTTCCCCTCTTGCTAACTCCCTACAAAGCTTGTTTCTAATTGTTTGCTTATGCTGGGTGTTGAATTCTCTCTTAGGCTGATCATCTATTTCATTTGAGCATTGTTGAATTCAAGAGTAGAACACAGAGGCAACATTACGGACCTCAATATAAGCAAAAAGGAAGTAAAAGAAATTCTGTATTTCCAACCCCGGGTTAATAATTTTCCTACCCCTGTTCTCTTACCAGTATTGTGAGATGAGATGTGAAATTCAGAAATATAAAAACAAAAAGTCAAGATGCATTCTTGAATTTTAAACGAACATGTCTTTAGCAGTTGCAATATGAACTAGACTATTTGCAACAAAGCAAATGTTTGAAGCTGTGTAGGAGCCAAACTCTACACAGAAAGGGGCCTCTTAAATGTTACCAAAGCTTTGTGGTAACATTTAAGTGTGGTGCTTCCATGGAAATCCTATAACTCAGATCAGCCACTTGGATTACTTGCTTTTTCCCTGCTATTATTTATATTTATATAAATATATATATGGTCTATAATTTATAGTATTAAAGTCTTTTGGAAATCCAACTTCCAACAGTAATTATAAGAAAGAAGAATGCAGTGCATTCATTATCATCAATCTTTCCGCTGGCCAGTATTTTATTTATCACATGTGTTGGTGATCACAGCTGGAGGCAGGAGCCACTTGTGAATCTGTCCTATTTTCTAGCAAAGGCACCAATTACACGTTCCCTGTGGTTGCCCTGATGTCCTTTTAAAAACTGTTCAAGAGGCTGCTATAGGTAAGGTGGTTTAATAAGCCAAAGACTCTACTTGAAAACTCACAGAGAGGTTATATTTATTTCCACCAGAGAGTACAGGTAGTGGGGCTTCTTTAAATCATTGTGACAGTTGAGATCAAAGCAGCAGATATGATCTGCATTTAACCTTGTGCGGTGATGGAAGGGAAGGCTTAGAGATGCGTTCCCAGGAAATGTCCGGTTTCTGCCGTAACCCCGACCTAGCCATGCTTCCGGCATTATCTTCTGGTAGGCTACTCGGGGTCTCAGACAGCCGTCCCCTTGTAATCTGAACTGTAGCAGTCAGCATGGCCTCAAAAGCCCCCTCTCCCAAGTGTGAGTCGTGAAACCACAGAACTAGCTTGGCTGGAATAAGACACAAAAGGCACAGCCACAGCAACACGGAGCAGCCGAGGCCCCCATTCCAGGGAGGGAGGAGGTGGGAGCAGACCCCTTTAGAAGGCAGTCACTTCTCCCAGAAAGAGGAAGGCCTGCGACGTTGAGCTACAGCTGAGAACTAGACACATGCTCCACAAGAAAGGCTCAGGGCAGCTGAGTCATTTGCAGTGGGGGAGAGCCTCACCCACTGCCGTAAACCTGCCCCATCGGCCATAGATGGTGTCCCCAGAGCGGACACGTTCCGCTCCAGTGCGGCTGTGGGGATGCCAGCGAAGGACTCTGGTATTTCCTGAGCACCTGCTATGTGTCGGGTGCTGCTAGGAACTTCCAGCATTACATCAGTTTGTCCTCCCAGCAGTGGGAGGTAAGGGACATCATCTCCACTTTGCGCACAAGGAAAACCAGGGCCCAGAGAGGTTAACTGATTCTCGGGCTTGCCCAGCAAGCAGCAGAGATAAGATCTGGCCCTTCTTCCCCCAACTGCAAGTTCAAAGGGTCCTCTGCTGACCCTACCCGCCAGCCTCGCTATTGCTAGGGCAATCTCCTTTAAGTCGTTCACAGCCAGCATGGGTGTCCCACCTCCTGGCCTCTGAGTGAAGGGAATGTGGATGTCTCCGGTGATGTTCTCCCTAACTGTATTTGTGATGAAAACAGGGCACTCCAGTTCCCTCTTGCCCAGCACCACTGCATCCGATTCGGCGGCTCAAGAGGGTTATGAGTCTAGGGGAGGAATGCTGGACTGGAAGGATCTGCTCAATTCACCTGACAGCACAGACTCTTTGGGGGCAGTGTCTTCCCATAACCACCAAGACAAGAAGGGTAAGGCCTTGGAAGCACCTCTTCCTCTTGGGGGCGAGGGAGGGAAAAGTGGGGAGGACTGGGTAACTGCTTCCAGCTGAATCACAGCAGCATTTGAGGAACAAACCTCCAACACACCATGATGGAAAGTGTCTCAAAAAAGGCTGCAACCCAATCCTGTGCTAGGCTTGATCCTAAATTACTCTCCAACCCAGGAGAAACCACACAAAACAAATAACACAGACTCTAAGCTTCCTCTACCCAAGAAGGGCGTGGCTTGGCCCAGAGCAGATGCTGGCTCCTGAGATCCCTTTTCAACTCCTCTTAGCTCATTCACTGATTTTTGGATCCTCTTTTCCCACCATAATGGAGTGGAATGCAGTGCGGGCTTTGGCAAGTGCATGTGATGGAAGTAAAAGCCCGTTTAATCAGTGAATGGAGAAATAGCAGAGCAAAGTCTTTTCAGGCTGGTAGCATCCCTCACTCTCGCATGGTGCTGAATTTGAATAGAGCCGAGGTCCTGAGACGTTCTTAGTTGCCCTTAGAGGACAACGGCTAAAACAAAAATATGTTATTTAATCAAGCAGAATTGCTATGCATTTAAAACGGAAAGGAAGCTGCGCGACATGAAAGGGACTCTACTGTGAACTGTCCTAAATTCTCCCTTGCTTTCTTTGCTCAACTGGAGACAGGAAATGTCATCTCTTTTCTCGCCATTGGCTGCTTCTGGTAACACATCCTACTTTAGTTGCAGCTGCAACCAAAGAGGCCTTTACTTGTCCAAAAAACAGTCTTGTAAGGCAGAGACTGAAAAGCTCAGTTATGTCGCGAGCTGTTTCCCCCCATTCAGAATTGTTTATTTCTATATGTTTTCAAGAGTTTCATCCAAGCGGGGGGCTGGAGTCTCGAGGGCAGACCAGCCACAGTGACCCTTGGAGGACAATCTCCATCACGTCCTCCCCCAGGGTTCTCTGTACACATATGTCCATCTGAACTTTCAGAGAATGTTTCTAGGCAGACTCACACGCTACATTTTTGTCCTTTTTTTAATTTTTTTTTTTGGCGGCTCATCTCTAGAGAGTGCTGTACACTCGCTAATGCCAAGCCGAAATGGGACGGGGTAGGTAGCCTTTTTAACTTGTTCTTTAACATATCCCCTTAAACGATTTTATTATTCTCCTATAACTTTTATTAATAGGTCCTACCCCAGTCTTTTTTTTTTTTTTAATTTTTTAAGTGCCTTTTGTCTCAGCAGCCTCTTTTAAGCCGGTAGGCTCCTTGCTCTTAGCATCACGAGGAAGCACCAGGCCGACCTGTGATGGGACAGAACTGTCACAACAGGCCACAGCCCTAGCATGTGCCATTATTTGTTATGTGTGGCTCCAGACCGCAGACGTGTTAGTCTTGGCTTAGTTCTCGAGAAGAGACAACACAGTAAAAATCACTTCGTGTTTGCCCACTGCGACTTTCTGAAAAACCAGCCAGCCCTGCCAGTAAAGCATGAAATATGTCAACCAAACAGCTAGCTGTTGGTTACAGTCATTTTCTCTTCACTTCACTGAGACGGATGGCGGGAATTTTCTCCAATCGTTAACTCTCCCAAGGGCTGGAGGTTATCAAACAGTCCAATTAACACTTTGACAGATCATTTTCAGATTCGGCATTGTTCATTCTCTTGGGTCTTATTATGAATCCTGACCAAGCTGGAAGCAGTCTACCGATTGTCAGACAATGGTGGCAGAGGTGACTGCATGGGTGTTTGACATGATCACTGTTCTCGTGCTATTTCTCCTTGCCTTGCCCGGTCAAATCGGAGCTTGATTTGTGACAACTGATTAGGTATTTGATGGGGCAATGACAATGAGTTGTTTTGCAGAAATTTTAGAAATTAAAAAAAAATGTAGCTTAATGTTCCTTTGACCATGATTTTTTTTATGATTTTAATTTCCATTTTGCTCTGAACTGTTTCTGTTTACTGTTCATGATTTTATTTTGAACCTCTGTTTTGTTTTGCCAAGCGCTGTGTGGTATGACTTGGTGATGGCGTTATTCTGTTGGAAAAGTCTTCTTTCTTTTCTGACTCATGATGACGTCCTTTAACTTGACCCAATCTGTGATCCCCTCGCTTCTTTTCATTCCCTGCCCTGGGTGCCTGAGCGATGTCACATCCGTGTGTGCAGCATCTCCCGCGACGCGCGGGTTTCATGGGTTTTCTGGGGGCCTCTGGCGCGTGCTCTTCTCACTGGGCCAATTGTCTCTTGGGAATGTGACATTTGTGTGCCCCGGCTTTCGCAGCTAAATATACTCTGGAATTGTTGCTAAAACACTGCACATTTCCCCGCTAAGCAGAAAATGTGTCTGCTGACCAGCTAGCTGAGGAGGAGGCAAGTATCCCGTGCCCTTTCTATTCTGGCTGCTGAACAAAGCCCAGGGAGCCGAGGAGCCCACAGCTCTGCTCCGCAGAAACGTTGAGCACCCAGGGGCCGGTCCCACTCCTGGTGCCGCCTCACCCTCCAGACGCTTTTGCATTTCCAGAGTATGTTTGCTTGCCTTTTTCTTTCCTTCCCTTGCTGTGTCTTTCGTCTTGATTTAATCCTGTGCGTCCCTCACGTTCTGTCCAAGCACCGTTCCTCACCTGCAATCCCACCCCCTTCTGCTACCATTGTTCTCAGCCTCCCCCTTTCAAGGTAACAGACCCAGGCCCTCCGCCCCTCCGTGGGACGTTCCAAGGCTCTTTCCTTCTACCCTGGGGGTGGCAGCCCGGGGCTGGACAGACATGCGCGGTCGTACTAACAAAGCGTGGGAAGAGACCTGCAGAGCACACAGAAGCATTATCAGAGAAAATGAAGTAATTTTCTCTCCCAGTAACTGGCCTTGCCCTTCATTACCCTCCTGGCCTTGTCTAATGTCTCCTGTCCTTGCTGCTTTTCTTTAAAATTGCCTGGTATCTTGCAAGCCCTAGATTCATTTGTGGAGACACGGCCAGCCGCTCTGTTTTCTCTCTGGCTCTCTAGATGTCTGGGGCCTCCAGAGCCAGCCCTTTAATCACCAAGTTGATAAATTAGAAGCAGCTCTGGCTACTTCTTTCTTGGTTTTGCCACATTTGAAAACATATATTACTTATTCATCCCATAACTCCTGAGGTGGTAATGAGCAGTTACAAAGGGGCTCTAATTACACAGGAATAAGACAGAAAATCCAGTTTATTTTTAGATCTGGCTTCTCTCCCTTCACCCTCTTCCCACAGCAAAAGAAGAGCTTTCTTTTCTAGGTTAAGCAATACTGAGAATAGCCACTCTTGTGCCTCTTGTTTCTGACCAAAAGTACCAGTGCTATAAAACCTGATTTCCAAGAAGACTGCAAGATGCATGAGGAAATTAGCCATGTACAGATCTGTTGAGGGAGCCGTGCAGCATAGATGTATGATGTAAACGTGGACCACTGCTGCTTTTACGCAAGAATAAATCAGATCAGAAGAAAATCCCCTACTTCACTTTATTTTACAGAGTTCTTGTGAGCTCTCAGAAAACAGGTGAAACAGTCGATATATACAAAGATGTTCCCATCTGACTGGAAATGCCAGAACTGTAGTGAGCTTATGTACTTTGGGAAATCTTTGAAACAAGATATTATCACATTATTATATTTAGTCAAGAAGATGTGCTCATTACAGACAAGGAAAAGATACAGAAATAGAATTTAAATTAGAGATCAAATGAATAATTTAAACGAAAATGTACAGTAAATGCTGAATATATTTTAATCAATGTGCAAGCTACTTTGTAACAGCAACTTTTAGTTTGGGAAATAATATTCCAGTGAGATGCATAAGGTCTAGAAAGGATGGTGAGTAGACTGTCCACACTTACATACCCATCCAGAGTGGAATTTTATAAGTCACAGAGTTTATCAACAGTCCTCTTTACAGCCAATTATTTATCCCTCAGTACATCACCGCCTCCAAGTAGGACACGGTGGATCTTGCATGTGATGATTTAGATGGCTCAGAGGCATGGCCTTCAAGAATACTGAATCACGTGGTGCAAAGTTAATGCCCTTTTCATTTCTCTATCCGTCTCCTCGGTTATGTCAGAGCAAAAGTCTTAGTTTACAAATCTAGAAACTCGCTACTGTCCCTTTTTGACAAAAGAACAGGCTTTGCCATGTGGCTGGAGCTAGTGGGAATGAACACGGTTTTGCTTTCGGTTGGTGTTATTTTTGTGGTTACCTTCTAGCTATGAAAAGTGACCCTTTTTTCCACTTACGATAGTGATATAAAGTTTCCACCTGAAAGACACTTTGAAGGTAATTTTTAAAATATTGACTAAACAGTAATGCAAGAAGTACAAGGATACAGAAATTCTAAAAGTAAATAACATGGTAGGTGAGACTCCTGGGTTTCACTAGAATGGTGGCATTAGGAGTTGGTGACGCAAGTTTGGGTTAAACTCCTCCCAAAACTCTGCTTCTGGCATTTGGAAGGGGAGACTTAACAAGGGCCTTACCTTCCGCTGGCTGGGCTAGCACTCCTCTGATTTCTCGTCCACCTACTGAGCTCTGTGATGAGGGATGAGAAGTTTGGTCAAGGAGGAATTTAGAGGAAAATGGATTTGGACTGAAAAGAAGTTAGTCATCCTGGGCTTGTCAAGCATCTGGCGAGATGCTTCTCCAGACCAACGGCGAGCATCCAGGTGCAGGCTGAAGCTGGTTATTTCCCAGGTGGTGGCCCAGGGAACGTCTCCCTCCAGCATGCCTGCCTCCTGACCTCGTTCCCCGTATCTGAGCTCCCGTGGGGTCCCTGGCCTGGCAGCAACCTACACTTGACCCTCCTTTCGCTTTTCTCTTTCAAACTTGACCTGTTCTGAGTCCCAGGCCCTTAGAGCCAGGCTATCTTCGTGAACAGGCTAAGAAATCCCACCTGAAGGGAGTACATTTGGTAACAGAGCCTAGCCCAACTGCTGTTGCATTTTAACAATCTGCAATGCTTCGAATCTAATGGACTGAGGATTTTTAAGCATCTC